AGGCCGTCTACCTCCTTTCACTTCAAACAGTGCGTCTAAGACCTTTGCATATAACAGCTGGGAGAAGTTAACCTTCAAGTCAAGGCATTTCAATGTATGCAAGGAGAAAAGTAATTATGCAGCTCCACTGTAGAAAGGTCAACACATTTGTGCCGTCAAGAGATAATTTGGGTAACTTCTGAAGCTGCGGTTGTTTATTTTGAGATATTAAGCCCATGATCCTCTCAGTATCTTCTAATCCAATATGAAATTGGTGACACCCATGTCATGTTTATCTTAATAGGTTAAACTGCCAGAGTGAAGGTTTATTTACATTTAAAGTTAATCAAGAGTATTGTTTTCCCCAAAAATCTAAAGAAATTGAAATTCAGAAACATTTTATACAACCTTTTTAGCCCTTTGTGTTTCTGCTTGGTGTCACCATCGTTCATGTTAGTGCAGCTGCAAATGAGTGTCCTCTAACTTGTGTAAATGATGTGTATACTAAATTATGTAAAAACAATAACTGACTAAAATATTACCTGTGTATTTATACATGTTATGTTTCTAAAGTCCACATTTTATAATGATTGAAAAAAATAACATTTGATAATGTATTGGTTTATGGATAATCTGTGAAATAAAGCATCATGCCTTTGAATTGTGTCATCACTTTTTAATTGCATTGTAAGCATTGACTGAAAAATAATACATTGGAAATGGCATGTAATACATACATTGAATACATAATAAACTATTAGTATTACTTAAAATTACTTGTGTAATTAAAGAATAGACATCTGGGTCAGCACAAACAAAATGTTCACCTCAATCAGTTTTACATCCTGTAAAGTGTATTCTGATGCAGCATTTGAATTTGATTGTGTGATTACTGCAATGCCATGTTAGATAATAGATTGAGTCAGTGGTAATGAGTTAGCATTATTGGAATTAATCAGAGAATATAATGCATGGCTTCTGAATTTGTCTTTAGTACTTGTGTAGGAGCAAATTAACGGTGGGTATAAAGGTAGGAACCTATGTGTGTTGGTGAGAAGTTCTGCCGGAAGGCCCATACCGTTTTTGACCACACACGGAGAACACACACACAGGATTACAAGCAAAGCAAAGGTATTGTGTAAACGGTAATATCGTGTGGTGAATATGGAAAGAAGCAAGTAAATGGAAACCAGTAAAATGGAAATAAATGGACTGTTTCAAACTGGAAACTTTGTTTCTGACCTTTTATTCGGCAGCAAACCTGTGTGCGTCAATTACACCCACCAAGCGGATCCTCAGAGGCTTAAAGCGTTGGCTTAGCCTCTACAACTTGCATATTTATATATAGCAGTTGTAACCACATGGTCTATGTCAGTGGTTCTCAAACTTTTTCTGTCAGGCCCCCCCTTTGGAGAAAAAAAAAAGTCGGGCCCCCCCAACACAGATCGTCAGGCTCAGTGGCGGCGCCAGAGATTTATTTTGAGAGTGCTGTGGGGTAGCTTGACGTTTCATAGAGGGTGCTCAAACATTTAGGGTTTCCCATTAATGTACCGGTCGCTACAGTGGAACGTTCTACTGCAACAATCCCCACGCACATACACAGTGCGACTGTTACAATGAAGGCTCGATAATCAGCTCACGGCATATAGGTGTAAGCAGGGGTCAAGTGCTATTTTTACAGGTGGTGTGTGGACCTCACATAGGTCAAGCTCCCCCGGGAAGATTTATTTTTAAATATTGAAGTTAAATGCATCAATCTGGTGCACTTTGAGAGCAAAATGAAGAGATCTATGGATACCTCTCTCAACACCCATATGAAACAGATTTACTTTTTCTTTATGGATATTTTACAAATCACTCTTTTAAACTTTATTCTTTTTTTACTGTCATATAGTATTTCATACCTGTTTTACATTTATTCTCTTATTTTTGTATAACTATAATGATCATATAAACGTGTGCCTCGGAAATAATTGTTTACATTAATGGTGACCAAAACATTTGAGACCCACTGAGATAACACTGCAGAGTCCTTTAGTTCACTGAGTCTCTCAGTCTGACAGGAGAGGACTCTCCTCCACTTTGTTGTTGAAAAAACTCCATATATCTGTTAGCGTAGCTCGCTAGCACCAGAAGCTAACAACAACGATCTCCAGTACCGGTGCGCTCTCTCTCTCTCTCGTGCGCACACAAAATGGCTCGTTCCACACACACACACACACACACACACACACACACACACACACACACACACACACACACACACACACACACACACAGAGCCAAGCTTTAATGAAAAACAGAGACCCAGACGTAATAGTACTGCATCATATTATTTTCGAATCAATCATTTTAAAAATTCAGATTTTTTTTTTTTAATCTTTTTTTTTTTTAGAACCATTTTTCCTCCTGGTCTCTCGCGCCCCCCCTGGCATGCCTCTGCGCCCCCCAGGGTGGGCGCGCCCCCCACATTGAGAACCACTGGTCTATGTACATTAGTTTAATTGTTTTTACATTCAAAGGCTTTTTTAATATTGATTTGGTGTGTTGTGGGCTCCAGGATACTTGAGTAAACGTATTAATTTAAATGGCTCCTCTGGAAATAAAGGTGTTTTCTTTTTGTGAAAGTTTGGTGTTTTCAGTGAACCTTTTAGGCAGTTGTCAATTCCTCAAACCCCTCTCCAGATTTCCTTTCCCGTCACAACATTTGACACCGTCATTGTGTTTCTGTAAGCAAGTGTATCTCGGCTTTGGTATCACTGTGTGCCTGAAAACAAATAAGGATTTGGATTGTAACATCATCGTAAGTAAAAACAAATGATAGTGAATATGTGTTCAACAAAAAGGTAAGCTTTTGGAATGATTCAAACCTCTTTTCAGGTATCAGATTTGTTCATGCAACATCTATAAGTGTTAGTCCGGCAGCCGAGCAGGTCTCCCAGGACCCTGGAGTGTAGTGCATTAGCAGCCTCAGCTCTCCTTGAGGATGACTCTTTATAAAAATGACAAGCAATCCAGTCATGGGGAATGATGTCTATCTGAAGGCTTCATGTATTCCCACAATAAGCTGTCTTACAAAAGTGCATCATTCTGTCCGGTCATAACTGCTGCAACAACATCAAGGCTGACGTGGATGTAAAATGGCTTTATGAGTGAAAGAAACCTGCAACAGAGATCAGAAAATGTCTAAAACATTTTATTAGGTTTGTAGGTTTGTAGCCTTGTATACTAAATTAAAGTATACTTAAATAAATAAAGGAAGGAGTGTCCATATATTTGTCTCCAGACATGATTTTGAACCATCTCATTGCACGCAGTCTTGATCAGTGTCACATTTTCACAGTAATAATGTGCACAAGTCATAGATGCCAGTTTAGAAGTTGTACTGCCACCTTGTGTTTTTACTAATTATTGCATGGCAAAACATTTCTATGTAATCATCATACATAATTTGTGATTGAATATTGTTGTGCTAAATTGAATGAAAGGCATTCATTTGACTTGTTTTTTTTAACTATTAGTCAAAGATTCTCCAGGTTGTTTTTGACTTGCTTGTGATGATGCACATTAAACTAACGAAAGCACGTTTTTTTTACATTTAATATTAGAGTCTTATTTCAAATAAACTGAAACACTTCATTCTAATTATTAACAATTCATCAAATTATGCAACAAGGGGGCATCAAGTTCTTGAAATGTCCTGGCCTGATTTAAATGAGGATGAATCAATGGGGGTTGATTTGTGCTGCTGCAGTTTGCTGACTGTGAGGGCTCTTGTGAGAGCTGCAGATGGGAAGGCTTTTATTTCAATCACTGCGTCCTGATCCTCTCCACAGGGAAAGCAGCTGAGGGGAGCAGGTTTTTCAGGACTCAAGTGTTATTCAAGTGTGCTGATATCACACTATGAAATGGAAAAATAGATCAGGTTAAAAGTATGTATTGTATTATTATAATTACCAAATGATGAGGAACCTTAATGTCGTAAAGTAAGCTGTCCTACATTTTATCACAAATATTTCCTGTTAAGCATAACAAGTTATGTTACTATTAGTATTATGTTGCCTATACCCCCATTACTATGTTACAATAGTTTTCAAATGAGCTTTTTGGTCAAAGTATAAATAATTACTAATCTAAGCTACTGTGGCCAAGAGCTGGTTTGAAAAGTATAGCCAGCTTTAGCATTTGTCACGTGTTTCACAACTCTTTTCAGATTAGCTGCCATATTTAATAACAAAGTGCTGACTGTGTGGTGGACTTGTTTTATCTATGGGCGTGTTCCTTGTTCACATTTTGCACTATGTACATCTTTTTTTATATATATATCCTGCTGCTATGGACAATTTTGCACTCTCATTTGCACTATGTACATCTTTTTTTCCCATCTTTTTTTTATATATATCCTGCTTACTGAAGTAAACGGTTTTTTGTAAATCATTGAGTGCTCTTGCATTTTAATGTGTGAGTTGTGTATACCTCGGGACTGTGGGAAACATAATTTCGATCTTTCTGAATGGACAAACATATTTTGAGATTGACAATAAAGTTGACTTTGACTTGTTCCCATGCTCATCCTGTCAATGCTCATTTGTCATTATTTAACATATGTAATGTATTTGTCAGCAAATAAACCAGTTTTAAAACCTTTACTAAAGGTATATAGTTACATAAAGACATTATAGCGTGGACATTTTTGTTAGATCTGCAAAAGAAAAAAGAAAATGTACATACGACACAAACCTGTATAATGTCAGGGGAGGGATTTTTAGATCAATTTTTCCTTGAATGGTGTAAGTAAGGGATAATGTGCAGCGAGGCGGTCATTATGGGTAAAAGAACACCCGACAGGCTGTTAAGGAGCCCGACGCAAACAGATAAATCAACCGGACTTCTCAGATGTGAGCGTCCTTAACAAATATATTAACATGAATGTAGTGTACTGTGCACAAACTGCACCACATATTCATATTTAGAGTCAATATCTTCAAATATGTACACAGTATTTCAGTGAGAGCAGCCACTTGTTTTGACATTTTTTATTCAAAGAGGCCATTAAAGACAGGAAATATCAGTTGAAAGATGGAAAATATTTGTCAACCAACTAGATTCTGCTGCACTTATGTTAAAATGGCAGCAAGTTATGTCCAGAAATGTTTAACTTTTGTGAAATGACAGGTGGTAATCAGGTGCCTGTTTCAGTATGTTCAGTAAAAGGAGTGATTTAAAAAATGCTATGCAAAGATTATATTTATCATTATATATTCTGCAGTGCTAAAACATGAACAGCAAACTTATATTTGTAAAGGTTAAGTAACTAAAATAGATATATTAAATATGTATGCACTGTGGCTTGCAACACACACCCAATTTAATTTAAAACCTCTGGCGATTAGTACCACTTTCCTAGAACATAGATTTAAGATGCATTACATGGAAATACATTTGTGAAAAAGCAGCAGTTAAATAACAAATGGCAGAGTGAGAAACAATAACATTTCAAAATGGAACAATGAAAAAACAGATTTCTTCTTTCAAGGCTATTCACTCATCATTCACTGTCAGCAGTATAAGTGTAAAAAATAGGACATGTCAGAATACAATCTACCTTAAATAATTATTGATACAATATAACTCACCACTATATCCCAAAAAAGAACAGACACAGATTTGATACAATTGCATGATCAGAAATATGCATTTGCAACTTAGCAATAAATGCAATCAGAACAGTGCCGAAATGAAATAAACTCCAGATTCCAATTAAAACAAAAGGTAGCTGTAACAATGTTCACTTTATTCAAAACTAATAAAATGCATCGCAAGTGATATTTCAGTGTAAAAAGTATGGTCATGGTAAACTATTATCCTGATCATTACCATTTTGCATACTAACGTCTCCTTTACTGTTTCCATTTTCTCTATCAGCAAAATCATGGTGTATGTACAAGGCTGTTAACATAACCGTTCTCTTTTCAGGCAAATGGGTATGAACATACAACAATTGGTTTAATGCATATAATAGCTTAAGTTAATGACAATGTTAAACATTAATGACAACAGGCATAGTGACAATGAAATACAAATATACTAAAAGGCAGACAATTCAATTAAGTCTGCACTCTATGTAGATGGACAAGGACAAACTGCTGGCCTAATTTTGTTGTTGCAGAGACTCGCAATTGTGTGCGTTCAGTATGAGGAGGTTTTGGTCAAACATTTCAAGGCCTCCAGATGAAAATAATAAGATGAAAAAACGATGCCAACACTCAAGAAGACTTGTGTTCAAACACGTAGAAGCGATACACAACGCCAACGACAATCGCGACGATAGCAGGTATCAACCATGTGGTCCAGGAGCTGATGGGATAAATTAAATATGTATAAGTAAATAAAATCACATGTTTATGGCTTATTTGTAATTTCATCAGTGTTTATATTAAACATTTTAAAGACAATTACAAATAAATATATCAGAAATATGTGAAAATCAAACATTTAACCATTTATCAGATAAAGCAGTATTTAGTTGTGGGTTTGTTTTTTGGATTCGGCTGAGTAATGAGCACTTTCTACTTGCTTTTCTTCATAATTTGTTAAATAGCCATTTCTGAGCTGTCAATAATACAAAATAGTGTAATACATTGATACACAACACATTTGAAGGCATCAATTAGACTGGCACAATAATGACTCACCTGGACTCTCCTGATTTAGCGTCATTTTCCTCCTTTTAGCAGATAAAAAGACACAATCAAATATTATGACTTATTCACAATCAAAAAATTATTTGTATAATGTTTGTAAATTCTGTTGCAGTTCAGATGAACCACGGGGCTTACATTTGGCTTCTGCTTTAATCTGTCATCCTGCAAAGATAAATAAATTAGTATTACTGTCATGTGTTGACTGACACAAATTACACTCATTAATATGGATTAAGACAGTATCTCAGGAAGTACATAGTTGATCAAAAGACAGGGGTAATTGCATAAATGACTAGTTTGAAACAGCGGTTACAAATGCTATAAAAATGTAAACGTTGGGATATTTAAACACTAAAGAATGGGGGCAATGAAAAACTGCTTTCAATTTAAAACCAGTATCACGAGAATAAATGCAACCTGATCACAATTACATAGTATGATTATCTTCTGAATGTAATTATCCCATCATACAATGTTTTCTTGATAATTAATGAAATAATAAGACATGGTAAATTCTATTTAAACATCCTTTAATAAACACTTTAACAAAAGAAACGTGTTTGAATGATCCATATTCTCTGCGGTCTAATCTCAGTTTCTCCCACTGTTTACTGTAGAACAGGTTTTACTTTCTGTGAAGCACATTTTCATTACTGGTTAGTACAAATACAGACGGAGACCCCTGCCTATAAGCCCTATCAATGAAAGTAATTGTGGACAAAATCCACAGTCCATTTTGTTGTTGTAGAAATGTAATATGAATGTAAGATGATGACACTGAGTCTTCAGCAGTCTGAAAAAATCCCTTTGTGTTAACCTATCCCCGAGACAAGACCAGTTTAACTTGTTGCTCTTGGACGGGGCGGTTGCTCTTGAAATATTTCAAAAATAAGGGATGGATGTAACACACATATCAAAACAGAAAAGCTGATACTTAGTGGGAAAATGTTTTTGTAGTTATATAGACAAATAAAAAATGCGGAACAATACACCTATTGTCCCAATTTGATGTGTTTCTTTGGATACAAAACTCACGCTCACATGATCAATCTAATTGATGTTACAGAACAATTAACATTGGATTTAGCTCCTTCAATTTGCTTATAACCATGTTAATCTCAAATTATGCATGGAACCATTTTATGACTCCAAGCTACTTTTGTGCAACAATTTGTTTGGTTCTTACCTATCTCAAATAGATCTGTAGACATGTATTAATTACTCTGTTTTGTCAGGATAGATTCAAGCAATGTTAATGATTTGATGGCAGTTTTTTTATTTGACAAAGGGATATGCACTGAAGTTAATAATACTTCAGAAACAGAATGAGGTCTTTCAGAGAGAACAGGGGCTGGATCTTACCATGTGGAGCTCCCCAACGTAGTACTGCATAAGCATCTCCCTGGCATCTGTGGAGTGACCCACATCCTCAAAGCTCTCTGTGGCATCTGATCCAGCCTGCTCTATCAACACCTCCTCACCCCCCGGATGCTGAAATCATAAAATGGATTAAAGAGTTAAGTTATTACAGTTCCTTATTTACACCACACTCATAATATTATACAGTTAACAAAGTTTTCAATGAATCCATATCAATAAATACATTCACAGAAATACTAGCTCAATAACTGGTATTGCTAATTACCCTGGTCACTTATCACAGTGTTGCTTAACGTTATCTTATCTTATAGTTGTATTAGGTAAGGTTAAGATGACCTGTGTGTCTCTGAAACAGCATCATCATGATGCAATTTTCACAATGAATCTAATTATCCTACATTTTTACAATGACATAAACACTGTTGCTGGAAGTAATAATAACAATTGTAATTATTATTATTATTATTATTATAAACATATATATCGGTTCATCTCTACAACTAAGCAATAATACCTTTATAAAAATGCTGGGCAACAGGTTAGCTAGTGTTGTGTGCCACCCATTGACCTAACGTAAAATAGGCGAACAATGCAAGAAGTTATGAAAGTTTGCCCAAGAGAAACTCTAGCCATATCGATTGACTTGAGCTTGTGAAATCACACAAACAAAAACCCTCTACACTTTAAATGCCCGATAACGTTGTTTTAATGTAACAGTCTGCAAACATTTCACGTTAACTCATAACAGGGACAGTTTTGTAATTCCAGGAAGTGACGTCATTCTTAGCAGAATCAGGCAACCAAAGGCTTACAGCAAAAACTTAAAATATGACAGCAATGGTGATACAATTGTTTAAACCGGTTGGAAGAAAATCTTTCTTACCTCTTCAAGGAAATCTGTAAGATCATACACTTTATCGTGGACGATGAGCCATGTGTCAGTGCTCATGTTATGTAGCCTTATTTCTTCTAGTGTGTAGTATTGTACACCAGCTTCTACTGTTTGGCCGTTTCCCTCAGCGACAGTGTTATCAGCAGGTCCGCTGCCTGAAGGGTTGTCGTTAATTTCCTCACCCATTTTAACGTAAACGTTGATGGAAATACTATATTAAACCGACAGAGCAGCAAGCTAACGCTAACTTGTGTTTACCGCTATGGGTGTCGCTCTATCTAGCTACGGGGTTACCCGTGCAAAAAAAGCTTCTGATGAGACAGTAGAGGCAAGATGACAAAACAAATCCACCCATACGCTAACGTTACAAAATGTAAGGAACTAGAAAAAAAACCTAACTCGGTACATCAGGTCAGCAGACCGGTGAAAGAGACCAATGAAATGCGTGTTATTTTACCGTGAAGCACAAACACCACAACTGACCAATGAAACGGTGACTTTTAGATCGGTATCCAATCAGAATCGAGTATTTGATGATCATGAGACTAGGACATTTTCTAGTGTGATCAACTCTGCGCTGACATTGCGCATACGTGTCTCATTCGTTGTTTTATGCTTTTGTAACATTTTTATGTGGGATATAATAATATAAAGTCATTGGAATAATATTCTAGTTTCCATTGCACACCTTCACTGCGAAGCAATACAGACGAGGATTGAATTCATGTGTCTTTATAATCAAACTAATTTCTTAATTTGAAAATAAATTGTGAGAAAATACAGATTAAATACAGCAAGGAATGCAACAACCGTCTATCATAATATGTGTAAATATATACCACATTCTGGGTTACACTACTAAATTGAATATCCCCTGGATATCCAGTACATTTAAAAATGCTCTCTAAATATTGCATGTTAAAAATAAAATGAATTTGTCACACAGTGCGAACACAAAATGGGAAACAGGTTACCAGTTAAATACAATGTCCTTAGTTGAAGACCTACAGGGCTGGGCATGTGTTCTCATAGTTCAGAATTCTAATTGGACTGATGCATTTGAATTTTGATTAATTTATGGAACAAATACTGTGCTTAAGTGACATAGGTGACATGTATGTATGGGAGAATAAGATGTGATATGTGCCTCTTTCTTTGCAGATAGGGGGCCTGTGAAGCATATGTATCCTACTGATAAACACATACAATATTTGCCAATGCTTCAACCCTATAATTAACACGTAAAGTCTGGATTTCATCATAGGCACATTAATCATTTATCAAATTAATTAATTAAACTATAATCAAATAGTGTTGGGAGACATTTGGAAAAAAATACAATATTTTTTAATAAGCAGCATAACTTTTGGTCATACAAACCGATCAGATAAAATAAATGGTTCCTCTTGCAACAGCAGCAATAACACACAGTGGTAGTTCAAACCCTGTCACCAACCTCAGCCCCACAGCATGCCTGTCCACCTCTGCACACCATGCCAAAGTCTGAACGTAGTTTGTCGGCTAATTCCTCATACAAGTGCAACACTCAGAAACTGATTTTTGGTGCCTTTGTTTTTGTCAAAAACATACAAACCAAACACATTTTAAGGTGAAAGTCCATGCCACACATTTTACATTTTAACTTTTAAAGTTATCTCATGCTTGGCACACAATTGTAGGTTGTATTAAATGATTTATTTGAATTGCAGTTAAATAGGAGCTGCTTTACTCTAACAACATTTCAGAATCAGACACAGAAACAGGTTTATTACCCAGGTAGGTGGACACGTACGAGGACTTTGACTTGATGTCATGGTGCATACTTAAAAGTAAAACAAAAATAAAAAACACAGATAGAGAACTATTTTAAGAAAACTATAATAACATTAGAAAATAATACAAATAATAGAAATATAGTCAAATATAGCAGTGTTTACATATACATATAATGGAATACAATATGTGCAGTAATAAAAAAAAAAAAAGATATTATGTACATTTCTGGTGTTTAAGCCTTTTAAAATAAGATTGTATTTAATCATTTCCGACAAAATCTCCAAAACAGCGATCAGAGATCACAGTGTTTTAATAAAATAGACTCTTAGAGTAATTAGTACTAACCCATTTATCCATTAACACTGTGTCTATGTTATGCTTATAAATATATATTTGTTCTCACTCCTTTAAGACTAGTATATTTCGGGACAATATTGAAACCCAAATTGTTAGGAACGTAATATATTTGGGGACAATAATAATAAAATCCAATTGGCTAAGAAATGATTTGACTTTCTCATACAGACCTATAAAAAAAGGATGTAGTTATCATGTGTGGACACTATTCCGTCCAGAAGGACGCAGCACTGAGCTGACTGAGCCCAGTCTGCCAACATATCCACAAAGAAGAAGAAGACGAAGAAGAAGAAGAAGAAGAAAAAGAAGAAGAAGAAGAATTGTGGGATTGCAATGGCTGCTCCCTTATCTGTAAACATATGCGTTGTGTTTACGAAAACTGCAGTTTAAATATATACTAGTCACTGCTACAGGTCCATTGATTCCCGGAATACTTACCTACCCATTATTTGACTTAATATCTTAACCTGGATGTGAGTTTTTCTGCATTTTAGACCCTCAAAAACAAGCGGCATTGTCCCGCAGTTTGCCGCCCGGCCTTCCTAGGATAGAAGCGGATAGCTTGCAAGCTAGCTGCTCTATCTGAGGTAAGCAACACATTTAACTTATCTGGTACTGAACAAGGAACATGTACTGAAATGAATGGAGAAATGGACAATAGCTGTCGGATTTATAGCACGTGTCATCGTTTGAAGCATATCAACATTCACTCCTTTGTTTATAACTTGTAATACATTTCCTAATTGTTAAACAACATCACAGCTGACGCAAAACAAATACAAAACTAGCTACTATCTGTGACTTTAGAGATGCTTTTTAATGTCACAAATGTGGCTAAAGCTACTGATGGCCAAACATATGTTAATGCTGAGATAATGAGTTAGGACTCTATAATATCTGTGTTTTGTTGGGTTGTTTTTCAGTTAAATTCTTAGATTTTTGCCGTTCAGCTGAAAGTGACATTTGGGAACATGTTGTTATGTAAGATAGAAGCATGTTATTGTACAACCAGGTTCAATAAAGGGCTGTATTGATTATTAGACTGAAATAATATGAATTCACTATACATTTGATGCCAATGTAGCTTCAAGCTTGATACCAAGGTAGCTTCAAGCGATGTATTAAGAAGTAATAGCAAACATTTTCTTGTTTAAGCTTTTCCACTTTAGGGATTTTCTACTATTCTCTGTTTTATATCACTGTCTATTAGATCTTAAACACTTAGTTGCTTTATCCATCAGTTAATTGTAATGAAATTAATCTGCTATCATTTTTAGAATCAGCTTATTGTCATTTAAACAAGAAAGTGATCTATGGGATGTTCTCTCCTTCATCTCTGGGTTCATTGTATTGGAATCTAGATCCTATAATTCATGATGCAGAAAAGCAAAACACTTTAGTTGAAATGAACTGTATAATAATTACGCCTAAACAGAGTTGACATTAGCAACCCTTTATTATCTTTACACATTCTCAACTTTTGTCCTTATTTCCCCACAGATAATGGATGACGATGTGTCCATGCACAGGCTGGAAGGGTCTGATCCCGATGATCAAGTTGGAGGACTGATCGTAAAGAAGAAGAGTGCTGCTGAAGAGGCCCATGTTTTTCGGGCTCCCACTCCACGCACGTCCCTGCTGGGCTTGGATCTGCTAGCAGCTCAGAAAAGGAAGGAGCGAGAGAGTAAAGAACAAGCAGACGCTATTGCAGATGAACGAAATAGCAAGAAGTCAAAGGTTACCTCCTATAAGGACTGGGAGGAAGGTAAAAGTGACTCTGGGTCTGATGAAGAAGAAGAAGAAGAAGATGATAAGGACAGTGGTGTTAAAAACAAAGAGAGGTAAGTGATGGTGCTTCACACAACAACATTTTGTTGATAATAATGTCGAATGTATAAATAGAAAAGCAACATATATCCCGCAAGTCTATGGAGATGATCATTATTTAGTATACATTTTTTTAAGTTGAATGTAATTATTAAGATATCTATACTCTTGGATCTCGCTGTTTGAGAATTTTTCGATCACTTTTTCAGTTTAAGCCTTTGAGTCCTTCCAGAGAAAAACCCCTCTCTAAAGCAGTGCAAATATTAAACCAAGTGTACTGCCATGTGGTAAATACTTGTGTGTGCTGCTCTTGCTCTTTTGCATATCATATATTTATTTTTGCTATGTTTACAAATGTCATGTTCTTATATGTTGTATGTCAGGGACTACGGATGGAAATTAGCTCAAAGCTAAAATCTGGCATATTTACACTTGAAGCATTATTTGTCTAAAGTGTTCATTAATGTGCATTGTCCTGCTGTCTTGCAGCAGGAAGTATCGTGTTACTGGCTCGGAGACCCCCTCAAATCCCGGAGGGGTCAGCGAGGAGTTCAAACGCAGACACCAGCAGCGAGAGAAAGACAGACGTGAGCACGGGGTCTACACCACCTCCAACGAGGACAAGAACAGAGAAAGGGAAAAAGAAAGGAGCCGAGATAAGGGGAGAGACCGAAGGAGTGAAAGAGGTGATTCTAAAGATCAGCCATTTGGTTTGTATTCTTTTGTATTTCAATGCAAGTTCACTTTTTGTTGTATTCCAGCTTCAATTATTTTGTAAAAATTAATAATTTGTTGTTAAAAGCCCTTAAAATGTGGAGATTTGATACATTGTGCTTTGTCATATTATTGTAAAACTATCTTCATTTCATTTTCTTAACTTCAGTGAGAACAGTAGCACTACATTTTGGACTTTGGATGTATTCCCTTTTTATAAAGAGGATCAAGTATTAAAATACATAATTGTTCTGTGTCAGGGGAGCGAGAGGGCAGCCGCGGCAGCAGCAGCGGCCGGTCGGAGCGCGGTGATCGGAGCGAGCGCTCACAGAGGGAGGGCTGGTCTGATCGCATCAGCCGGGGGAGTAAGAGAGAAGAGCCGTCATCGCCACAGAATCGCCCCAGAGGTAATCAAGCTTTATTTAAAAAACACATTTAAAACTGTCCTTGTTAAAAGGATTCATGGTCTAAACTCATTTTGTTTTCACATAGATTCCTTCACACCCTCACGATCGAACTGGGAGGAGGATGATAGCGGTTATTCCAGTTCACGGCATTCCCAGTGGGAGTCTCCGTCCCCCGCCCCGTCTAACAGAGAGATGGAGCGCTCAGAGAGAAGCCATCGCTCCGTCCGAGAGAGTGAGAGGAGAGACAGGTGAACTGCTGTCATTCGTCTCCTGTACCATGTAAGGCATGGGTCGGCAACAGGCGGACCGCGATCCGGACCCAGACGCCCACCTATACGGACCCGGACCTATAAT